AATTTCCAATTAATATTCCCAAATTTAAACATATTTAATAAATTAGATAGCTAAATTTAATCACGAACCGAACCTAAAGGCAGGAAGTTGGTTCAGATCGTGAAGGAAAGCACTTTTGGTTTTGCTGCCCTGATTTGAGTACTCAAAAAAGTACTCTGAGTATTATAAGTATAATATTATGTAATTTTTCGTTATCAATAAATGTTCAGTTTTCTTAGCCGTGATTTCTGCCATTCTCTCATGTGTTACGCAACTCTAACACAAGGCTCGTGTTTGCAACACAGGTTCTTTGCCACGCCCACAGTTGGCCCTCGGCCAAACCAACAAGCTAAACAAACTGAGGGTCAAACAAAAAACGGGCAACTATAAAATCTTGTAAGTGCAAAATTGATATTTTCAAACTGAAAGCAAACAGAAATACCGCCCGCACAGCAAAGACAAATCCGACAGACTTTCAAAAGATTAATCGACGAAATTTTCCAGAATGGCAGTTGGGCTTTCCACATGCAAATAATTTGCGGCCAACTGAACGAGTGTAAACAAACCGCCCAACTGCGAGCAACTGGCGGTGTTGCAGATAGATAGAAAGTTTCACGAAAACTTTTCTCAAATCTGACACACACTCACATTTAGAGCAACCGGTGTGTGGGATACCAATTGGGTCGGGTCATTAAGAAAAACTCATGGCATATACATCAAAGTCCCAAACAGATCCGTAGGCGGTGTCGCTGATGACAGATAAAGCGAGCAGCTGTCGGTTTGTTTGATGGCAAAAGTTGTAGAGAAACTTCAATTACCTTTCACTTGCCAGCGCAAACAACAAGAACTATCAATATCAAGGCAAGGCATTTTCGTCTTACACAATGCAACTGGCAAATTTACGCGGAAACATGTGGAACAAAACAATGGGAAATATCGAGGCAATTCAAGGCTGCTTAAACAGTTGCTCGAAGCTATATATATAGACCTTAATTATAAAATATATGAATGATTGGTAATCAACACGCAATTGTCAGCTTTCGGAAGGACCGGGTTTTGGAAATTTTCACCCGCGACGGTGGAAAATTAGTGGAAATCAGTTGTATGAAACTTTTATGTTTATCATCAGAAACACTTTAAAACGCATTTTCCAGGATATGTGTACAAATTTACTAAAAACACATTGCCTAAAATCCTCCTCTTCCCTAGATGGATAAAGGGGATCAAAGGTTGTACGGACCAAGGATAAATTTCAATTTCAACGAGCGAGAGGTGGGTGGAAAAGTGATGTTTGAAATTATGGCCCATGCAAAGCCGGGCTTTACAAACAAACATTTAAACGAATGGTCAACAGCCAAATACAGAATCAAGAATCGCAAATTCAGACTCGCTGCAATTTACCACGAATCTCGTGTTTTTTTTTTGCATATAATCCAATTTGGTTTAATCAATGTCATTCGAAGTGAGCTACTCTTAACAAGCTGTTAATTGTGTGAAAGGCGTCACGTCCTTGAATCGCAATTATATTTAAATTACAAACCTTACAAGATAGGTCTGTTACTCGGAAAGAGCCCTACTAAAAGGTAGATTTTCGAACAGCGCCTGCTCGTGACAATTTTAAATTAGACAGATGTCAAATTGCAACGCCAACGCCAACTTGGCTGCGCTGCGGATGCTCTAAAACTGTTGGGAGAATTAAGGGTAACAATCAATAACGAAAGTACCCAAGCGACGTGAAAACGTGGCTGTTGGTTAGCTACAGGACCAAGGACGATGCCAGGCAAAAGGAAATTGAATTGCATTTGAAATGCATGCGACGCATTTCTTGGCTCTTACCTGGCGCTTAAATGGAAGGCGACATGTGTTTGGGCTTATGCCAGCTTAAAGAGAATTTGTGAGCGATAAGCTTTAGATGATTTCGCTAAAATACATTTCAGCTGGATTATCACAGCAATGCGGCACTATTAGACAACCTTAACTCTGAATAACACGAATATGTCCGAGATATTCAATCTATAATAACTATTTTAGCTCGTTTGCATTAAATTTTACTTAAGCCCAAAATATAAACTTGTTTAACATTATCATATTACAAGACGTTTATGGGCTGGTGTAAACCGACCAGCCGCGGGTATAATAACAGCGAACTTAACGCCAGGGATCAGGGCGGCAGATTGAAGGTTCAAGTGCACATTGTAAGCAGCGAAGTAGCAGGCAGGCACGAGGGTAAACTTTGAGCATCGACTTCGTCAATATTATGCAAGGGTAGTGCATACAAATTTCATCTTTTTTTCTATACCCTGAACTCATCGAAGACGGTTGAAAAGGGGATAATGGCCTTATGCCAATGTACTTAACGGGCAGAAAACAACTTCTCTGACCCTTAGCAAGTATATGCGTGAAGAGACTATAAAGCTACAGACTTAAAAACTTGTGTGCTCCCAGGACGCGAAAATATGAAGTTTTTCCTTCCAATTATCGATAAATTATCGATAAATTATCGATAATCAAAATTAAATCGATAACTTGGCCTGTTATCTTGTCCTTCTTTCTAAGGCAGCTAGATTATTACAACATCAGCTCAGCGATAGATTTAAAGTATCTCCTAGTCGAGCACTCCCGACTTGATTATACTTGTTTGTCCTTTTCATTGCATATATAAGTTAGCCATTGCTTCTCAAAGAAAAGTTTCACGAAGCTATGGCTGAAAGTTTATCCTGCTTTCTTTCGTGTCACGAGTACTTGGGATTTACTTTAGAACTATGCACTAAACAAAATGTATAATTTTTTTTATTATTTTGTAATCGCCGATGTCGTTAGAGGAAAATATTAATTTTATTAAAAAAAACTGAAAATGGGTCATTTGAGTATCGTTTAATGGGAGGAAAACCCATCGCTAGCCGGAAGTGCATGCAGCACAGCTGAAGATGCAACAACACGAGGCACAACGTTGGCGCATGTTTAAAATGCTGCTGGCGCACTTTGCGGCAGACATAAGGCGAGCTGATGCGATAATCGCTAGCTATTCTATGTAAATTGGGTTTTGTTTGTTGGCTTTGTGGGCCGCAACAAAAGGCAAAGTGGGCGTGGCATGGTGTTGGCCTAATGTTAAACCGATAAGGTTACAGCTTTAAGAAAACATTTGGCCACGGCAATATTAAATCAGAGCTCGTCTCCAGCCAGGCCAAATTATGCACATGATTGCGTTAATCAAGTTAAATTGGATGCTGTCAGTAGGGGAGCAGTTGAAACATTTCATTTGTGATTTCTGTTGGGTATCTATCCATGAACATTTTCATCTACTTTTTTTTTTGGCTAATCGAAGTGTCAACACACAGCACAGTTTATACCCTAACTTTTAAAAATGTGTACTCGGCTGAGAAAATAAGTTTAACTTTAACATTGCTTTTGTACATAAAAACAAATTGGCGATTGAAAAGTCAATAAACTGGCTGACTTAGATGATTATACCAATTCACGTGAATGAAGGGCAAACAAAAATTGCATAGTCATTGACTAGCCAAGTGGCAAGCAGCTTCATGAGCGCTCATTAAATTGTTAATGTGGTTGGCTTTTGGGCTTTCATGCCGCATCAATGTTCCTTATGAATCCTAACAGACAGGCTGACGCGCAGCTGAGCCCGAAAATTGAAATTGAAAATGCAATAAAGAAATTGTAAAAAAAAAAAAACATCAGACAGAACATACGTATGTCACATATGATGTGGTTAGATGATTCTGTAAGCCGAAAGGCAATTGAATTATACGCGGAGATGCTTGTTTTGGCAGTTAAGATATTTGACGCAGCTTCCGGTAACCGAGCGGAAACACAAGACTGACTGGCAGCCTGCTAACAGGTTACTCTTGTCGAAGCCTAATGAAGTTAACGTTCTTGCCTCGTGTGTGCAGCCGTCTCTTATATGCCGCAAGAGGAATGGAAGATGGTAACTTGTGATTCCACCTGAATGGGTAGCTGTTGCAAGCTTTTGATTTTACCTTATACCCTGTAATAACTATGTTTAAATTAAGTACTTTTGACTTGGACCGTTTTTCCCTTTAAAAATCCCGTTCCCAAACGGAGTAAAGGGAAATATTTGCTTTGTGCAATGTCCATATGCTACGCCTACTCCTAATTCCACAAATTATACAAAACTTTATATCTCCTGCAGATTAAAGGCCGAATAAATAGCTTTAAAACGATACATATGAAACCTTCAAGTATTAATCACTTGACTCTTTAAATCAAGAAAATCGTCCCACTAGTTTTAGGGAAATTGTGTGAGTTTATATACAAATTAAAAAGCTTGTTTCGGACAATACTAACATGGGGTTTAGTCAAATATGACTTTTAATCTGCGGAAAATGGTAAAGGTTTCCATAAAAAAAATATTCAATGAAAACTATGCGGCACGGCATGTCAAATTCAAGCTTGCTTACCAAATTTTAAATGAATTGTGTTTTAAATGTACATACATACACAAAAGCGCCGTTAAGATAGGCGCTGCCAACTTGCGAGAATACAAAGCTATGGAAACTTAAAGATGCCAACTTGTGAAAATTACTTGAATATCTTTCAGCATTTGCAAGCATGACAAATTTGTAAGCAATGAGTCGTCGTTGATGTCTGTTTCATTAAGCTCCTTATCAGGACTCCAATTTCGGCGGCGGAACTTAACTTTACTTCGTACTTTATTAAATATAAACAGTTGAAGGTTGCTGATAGCGCGGTGCCGGCACGTTTGTCGAGATTCGTGCAGCAACGATACTAATTGACGATGATTTTCCGATTGTTAACTATCGTCAACGCTTCGAGATGAGCGAACGAGAGCAGCTAACTATCGATGGCGAGTCAATTCAAAAAATATCGAATTTGATTTGACGGGAGCTATTATATATTTCAAATGTATGAAATAAAACACTGAATTTGCAATGTTTTGCTTTCAATGATATTTTCGTACTTGCTGGTCTAGTTTCCCATAGAAAACTATTTATAAACGTAAATTGGGATCTTGGAGTACTTACCGATGATGCTTGCTCTTAGTGGAGCCTTCAACGAAAGAGGCTGGGCAAAAATGTAAACTATTAAGTCGATTGTCGTTTGTATGTATTTTTGTGCTGCACCATCTGCTGAATCTGAGCAAAAACATGGTCACAATTTCTGTAAAGTGTACAAGGGATTATTCGAGAGGGTCAAGGGTATTACGAGCTAGGCAAAACTTACTCGCACCTGTGTGGCGTGACACCAATGTGCGTGGCTGTCGTACACGATCTAGCTAGAGCTTTAGATAACTATCTGTTTTGGTGGATGGGCTGGTTGATACGTACGGGTATCCCAACACAGATGAGCAGCATCTGATCGAGGCGAGTTTGGGCTGAATATGTCTTATAATGAATATTGCCCTCGTTCGGATTGCTAACGCATACCCGATAGACAATCCATCTAATTTCTGAAAAACATATAAAAACAAGCATAATTTTTATAATTGTGCATGTTGCAATTTGAAACAAAAAGCTTGGACCGGAAGAGGCCGGAAAACACAAGCTAGTAAAGTATATATGTATATTCTTGGGCAGCATAAACAACCGATGGCTAGATCGCCATCTGGTTCTGATTATTTGCACAAGACCATTTTAAAATTATGTTGTTGTTTAGTTTGTTTATTTAAATGTACACTTAGTCCAGTTTGTTTTCTGCATAATAACCAAATTTAAGGCGTATTTGCTCATATAAAAGGAACATTATAATTGTATACGGAATCATACGTAACAAACTCGGCGAAATGCCACGAAATAGACCTCTAAAACCAAAGCGCATCATGAACCTTAACTTCTCAGAGGTGGTATCTAAATGACCGCTTCCTTTGCTCATTTGCATCGTCTTGAAAATCTCTATGGGTTGCACTAAGGGAGCACATATTATGGCTGCCGTCAGGGAGCTCAACAAGTGCAGCATCTTACAATCATCTCCCAACTTAAAGTAACGCATATATATAGTTTTGCTCTGCAGTTATCATATTACTTACGATATTGTAACAAAGGTAAAAAACAAAAGGTAATAGCTGACCTGATCGTACATCGCATTTTGGCCAATTGTAACAAGCGTTGCGCGTGCAAATGAGCTAAAACCTCCCGTGTAGAGCGCAGCAAAGCCCTCCTCCCGCCAAACCCTGTACAGACCATCAAAGACATTTCGATAGTTTCGCCTATATTTCCATTTCAGCGCTCGATCCACATGCATACGAGTGTTAATCAACTCGAAGGGTATGCCGACAACAGCTGCCATCATGCCGGATACGCTCGCTACACACACCTTGTGCAGAAAGTCTTCCTCATCAACGTATCGCTTACCCAAATCGTACAGGTGAAATCGTATAGTCGTATAGGTAATTTGTCGTAGGAGTTGGGCACTGAGACCATCATATAGAGATATGAATCCTGCAAGGAATACCAATTAAGTAGAGTGAACAAAATTGATAGATGTATCCAGGAATTTGCAAGTCATGACCCACCGTGTCTTTGGATGGCTGTTTTCGTAAGTTTAATCATGGTTGTGTCTTTTTTGAGAAACATCATGCGTGTCTCTAGCAGATCAAAAGGCGCCACTACAAATTGCGTCAAGGCGCCGGCTACACCACCGCTCCACCAGCGCGGACGAAGTCTGTGTAATAGGAAGCCGTTGCAGCTCTCTGGGCCAAGTTAATCTATCACATATGCTACTCACTTTCGGTTGGTATCCGAGGCATTGAGCGCTGTGTAGGAGTTCGCCAGTTTGATGTCCTTATCTGGTGATCAGGGCCTATGTTATACAGACTACACTGTTCTATAACGCTTCTCAACTTCCGGCCATTAGCTGTCACTCGGAGCTGTGCAATTTAATTGCAATCTGAGATTGACAAATTGGTTAATAAACCACAGCTGGAATACTTGGAAGCTTGCTCTCAGTAGTGTTCCAACCTTGCAGTGCCCCAAAAGTTGGCTGCAGATGTTGCAATTTCGTCGGGTGATTTGGCATAGTTTTGTGGAAACGCTCGAAGTTTAAGGTATGCCTGGTTGAGATCAGTTGAATTTCTTTAAAGTAAATCGCCAAAAAACATAAATTGACCAAAATTTAGATGAATATCAAAATAATTGTTGTGTGACGTTGACAGCAAATGCCTTTGTCAGAGACCGGAAAACAATATTCATCTTGTAATCAATGGATAAATAAAGAACGAACTAGAAAGAACGACTATCTTCGAACCACGAAAGATTGAATACCCTGATAGTATCTGCATTTAAACTCTAGAGTCTAGACGAAAGTACATTGACAAATAGTTGTGGAATCCACCAGAAGTAACATAAACTGATTTTGCCAAGCTGATAATGTATAATTCATGGGTATGGAACACCAAAGTAGGTAGTTAGTTTTATAAAATTTTTACATTAGCTTGTGAATATAATTGAAGCTTTTGCCACATTGGTGGAAAGTCTTATTTGATTCATAGCATTACGCACATTGAAAGGTACTGGCTGACTCTGAGGGTCGGGAGTTGCGACGACCACGATGGTGGTCCGGTGGTGTGGCATCCACTTGTGTAGCTTGCGTAGTGGCGCCTTTCGATTTGGTCAAGACGCATATGCAGACACAGACGATCAAAAAGGGAATGGTACAAACGGCCCTAAAAGTCATTAAAATACGAGGTGAGAAGTTAAGTATGCTTAGCCTTTACCCAGTCATCCTCTTTGCCTGCCTTTACAAAATTGTAGGGTATTTGGGCTTCTATGATGGCTTCTCGGCGGCTGCCATTCGCCAGATGACATGTACAAGCCTTCGTTTTTCTCTGTATGAGTGCGGCAAGGACCTCGAAATGTTTAATTATTCTAATAGTTTGATAAGCAAAATTTTCACCGCCAGTATTTCGGGCACCATTGGATCCCTTGTTGGTATACCAATGGATGTGATTAATGTGCGCATGCAAACCAATATGCAAGTTGCCGCTCATGGAAAGCGCAAGTATGTAAAGTGTTCAAGGCATATCCATTAAATATATTTGCGTAATGATCTCAGCTACAAGCATTTTATTGATGCTCTAATACGCATTCCCAAGGAGGAGGGCTGGATGGCCTTATACAATGGAGGCTTCGCTGCGGTTCTCAAATCAGCCATAGGGACAACTGGTCAGCTTGCGGTTTACGATCAAGTTAGTATTTGCTATAAGCCGAACATTTATTTATATCAATTCTCATTAAAAGGTCAAAAGTGAGCTTCATACTCGATTTATGATGGACGACGACGTGTATTTGCATTTAAAGAGTTCATTTATCTCATCAATTATCGATGCAATTATAACGCAGCCATTTGATGTGCTCAAGACTTTAATGATGAATGCACCGCCCGGTCAGTTTCCCACGGTTGCTCATGCCATTAAATATATGATGCGTTTTGGATACTGGGGCCCATATCGTGGTCTAGCTCCGACAATCGTGCGCAAGGCACCAGCTACGATATTATTGTTTCTGATATACGAACAGTTGCGCATTAACTTAGGTTCTTTACCATTAGAGAGTCAATAAAATAAATTTGTAGTAGTACAGCCAATGTAACTAATTTATATTTCTTCTTTTCAACCGATCATTCACATGTGATCCAGCCGGATCGACTCATGCCCTAGACTAGACCACATTGACACACACAAGAAGACAGACGGACACAGCTCTATCGCCTCGGCCCTTGATCAAGACTAAATATACATTAAATATATGCATAAAATACCCTCCACAAGAGAATTGACTAGATAACGTGGTTTTAATAATTCGTAATGTGCATTGAATATTATATGTTTATGCAAACACTTTTAAACTGTCTTTTATTACATTCAGTTTAGATTGAAGTTATCAGAAAACAAATGGTTTAGGGTCCGATTCCTTTAACCGTCATTTGGGAAATCCAATGCGGAAGCTGATTTATCTGGTTGCTTCAATTTGGTTGAGTTATAGTCGCAATGCTTCTTGCAGCTAAAATAAGCCAAAATGCATCCAAAAACCGGCCAAAATACAGCACAGCAGCACGTGAGAGACACAATAAGCCACATGCCAATGAGAAGACCGCCAGTTGCAATATCAGCTTCTATGGAAGGTTTATCCGGTGACTGTGTGGTATCCATTTTAATATGGAAGTCTACGAATTTGACAATTGAGTCTAGTTATTCAAACCAAATAATCGGGGCACACACAGATCAGGTGTACTTTATATACTCTTGCAGAAATTTGAATCTAGTTTGATCAGCGAATGTCATTAAATTCCACATCTTCCATGCCAAAGGTTATAATAAAATCGTTCTGCATATGGTATACGAGATTAGCTGATACACTATACTTCAAATTAGCCCCGACTTTGCTGCTCGAAAGAGGTGCATTTATTGATGATTAAGCCGATAGACCTCTATCGACGAGCTGCTTTTTTTTATTTCCCTGAATTTTCACTAAGCTTGCAACCGAATCTTCGACCTGCATTAATCATCCAAGAAGAAGGGAATTTGTCGTTAAGATCCTTGGAAATAAATTTGACACCGAAATATCACCCACCAAAACTTATTCTTCATTTCCACCAAGCAAGGTGGATTTTGCAAAAAGTGTGAGAACCCGGTTCAATGCTTAAGAAAAATGAAAGAAGATTTACCCAATTTATCACACTTGCGGATGGAATTTCCCAAAATTTTATCTTAGTGTGCAACTCTATCACAATAGTACACTCAATATTTTAGCTTCCTATCTCCTAGTTAAGATAGTCAGTTTTATATATAGAGGCAAAATGTACACTATAGAAATTGAGTGGAATTTTAAGTAGGACCGTGAATAAATATATGCGAAAATACACATATAAAAAAGGGAAGAAGTATTTCAGTTTATGATCAGGGATTTATATGAGAAGAACAAACAGATTCACACTTCGAGCCGATTGTAAAGTCATGAAATTAATCAAGGGTCGTGATTACAGTCGCACTTTCGGCAGGTAGTCCAAACTTAAGCGCAGCTGTTGCAGGATCAGACAGGTAAGAGAGTTTTATGGGGCTCAACAGGTAATCTTGAAAACAGGTAATCCACACTAGCTTTGACCACGATCCATTATAATTGTATATAACTCGACTTCACACCACAACGGGCTACAGTCAAACTTAAGCATTCAGAATGTCACGACGCAGTCACTCGCGCTTCATCTTTGAGGTGACAGGAAACACGAGGACCTTTCATCACCAGCGCATCATCAACAACCAGATTGTCAACTGCCCGACCTGTCTCAGTCTCGTCGGGGCAAATGAGCCTTACAGCCATCACTGGTTCGGGAGTCAAGATGATCAGCACATCAACTTGGGCTTGGAAGAGAAGCAACTGCTCAAACGCATCGAGCGGGAGCGTATTGAAACATTTCTGCTGTGCGATGAGAGCGCATTGGACCGCACCAATGATTTTTTATTGAAAGCAGGAATGGAAGCCATACCACAGCTGCTGCAATTCCTGATTTATGAGGCCAGCCGGCTGGAGTTGACCATTGGGTTCTATGTGAATGTGACCAAGCAGCACATGTACTGCGAAAGCACTCCTGTATTAATAGACCATCATCTGGATATAAGGGAGACGGTGGACATGGTGTTCTCAATCTTGCTGGAGAAGATTAGCAGCTTTGTGCTAGTGCAGCAACGAGTTCCATTTGAGGCATGCACCATAAAGCGCTTAAAAGTGACTGTAAAGCGTCAATTGCAAGGACAACAACAGCTCCCATTACAATACCGAGTAAAATGCGATACACGTTATCCGGATACCAAAAACACGACAGTTGTGGACCTTGCGCTGCTCTCAAAGAGTTACAGAAGCTACCAAGGCCAACGCTTTGGCCACTTTCCAGACTCACTCAAGGTAAATCTATATTGCTTTCGTGTGTGCGCTAGCACTAAGGAGCTCTATGCGGTGCCATACCTGCTCAGGAGCGAGAATGTCGACACCACGCCCACATTTCTCATACTAACAAATGTAGCTGGGGATTTTCAAGGCATGCACGAAATACGAAATGTGCAGCGATTTCTCAAAGCAGATACAAAGGATCATATGCTCGAGTGCCGCCAGTGCAAGTCACATTTTTCCGATCGTTTACAGTTTGCTTTGCACAAACAAATCGATTGTGGAGGTGGCTTTATGATTTGGCAGATTAATCCAGAATCAGTGGAGCTGTACGAGAATTGTTTGTTGTTGCCCAAACAGTATTTTAAATTCGCATGGTTTGGCATTAGAAATTAATTAATTAAGCCGATAAATAAATTATTAAATAGAATACATTTAAATAATAAACAAGAATACAAAAAAGTTTGCAATATTGAGCCTTAAATTATTTAAAATTTCATTTGAATATTTGAAACAACGCATCATCGCGCCAACATATCGATAGCTTCGATAACAAAATGTAAATTAAATGACAGACGCCTGTTGCCAGCCCTGGCAACGCGCCTCAAACAGTGCATGATTTGGTGAATGGCCAGCACACAAGCCAACAAAAGTCGAAGCGAAAACTCGTCTCATTTGCTCTGCAAGATCGAAGCTATAAAAACATATTGAACGTTCACCTCAAAAACATGAATCCCTTGGATAAAATACATGCACTGGACGAGATTGAAAAAGATATTATACTTTGCATGCAGAGCGCAGGTAAGCGGCCTTTACTCTTGCCATTTATTTGTCAACTGTCAACTGACTTGACCACCTCAAAGGGCAAGCGCTGCAAGAGCTCGGCAAGGAAAAGTCATCGCAGAAGAGTGCCGAGACGCAGTCGCAGCAATTTCTAAAAAGCTTGTCTAGCGTAGAGTCGAAGCTCTCGGAACAAATCAACTACCTCACACAAGTTTCTACCGGCCAGCCGCACGAGGGATCCGGCTATGCTTCTGCCAAGGTGCTACAAATGGCCTGGCATCGCATACAACACGCACGCTCTCGGGTACGAGAGCTGGAAGAGACCAAGGCCAAGCACTCTCATGCGGCCAGACAGCAACAGAAGCGACAGCAGGAACATGCTGCCGCACAGCAACAACAACAACAGCAGGCAGCTGCCGCCGCAGCTCAACAACAACAGCAACAGGCAGCCGGCGGCGGCGTCTGTGGTTCGGGAGCTGCAGCTGATGGCGCTGGAGCTGGCAGCGGTAATACGACAGGTGGCAGTAATGTAGCCAGCATAGCCTCTGAATTGGGCGGTGGGCTGCCACCGAACTGATTCCAAATTCCAATTAAATTAAGGATATTTTTTGTACGCAGTAAACTTAAGTTTCATTTTTAATATCTGTATGACTGTTACCTTAAATCCGGTAAGACATCGCTTTTTCCGATGCCAAAGAAGTTCTGCTCACACACAAATCGCACACATTGCAAGAGAACATTCCGCTCGTGACGTATATCAGGTGCCAGCAGCTTCGACAGCATCGTGTTCTGGTGGCTTACGCGACGCGCTCGCTTGTAATTTAAACCTGAATGTACTTTCTTTGGTGCAGGACGCTTAGCATTTGAAATAGTATTCGATTTGAACTTTTCAGTTGCTTTTTGATTGATCTGTTCTTTTGTTGTGCTGGGAACTGATTCTGTCTCAGTTTTCCGCTCAATGGGTAATTCTTCTGGTCCTTCGTCGCAAGAGCCAGAGCCATTTTCCGAAGGCTGTTTTGTTTCAATATCAACCAGGGGCATAACAGAGTATTTTACCACTGGCACATCCATAGCCTGCACATCCTTTCCTAGCTCGACTATTGTGTCTATATCTGACTTAGGTTCTACCAAAGTAACTGGTGTCAAATCAACCTCTTCATTATTATCCGCGTCCGACGTTTCATCCTCATTCTCGCTGTCCGTTCCATACATTCCCAGCATACTGCTCAATGCATTCACCTTGTCTTTGTCCTTTGTCTTAACATGCTTGTAATCTGTCATTTTACTTGTTCCGCGAAACGTGGACGAGCAGCTTGAACTTAATTTGATAGCATCCAGGTTGACAGCAACAGGTTTTTCCGTTTTTGCCGGACTCGTCCGTGGCTTCTGAGACTCTATTCGTGCTACCGGAGTATCAGTACTGTTTCTGGGCTTCTTAGCTTTCTTTGGATGATCCCTGTTATTGGATTGTGGACGCGTGCGTCGCCGGTCTTCCGGCTTACCGAAACGCGTTTTAGATGCCTCAAGGCGCTCGCCGCGTTTCAAGCGCTGCTCCTTGGCCTGTTTGGCTATCTCTACATTGACCGCAGTTGGAAATCTGCGTTGCAATCAGATATTTAATATTAATCATTCACTTAATTTTACTATTAATATTTACCTCTGGCAACGTTCCGCCCGCCAGGCGGCAATGTCCTCAGGCGTCCAAACCTTTTTTACGGTTTTGTACAAGCCCGTTATGTGATTTGCCTCAATATGTCGCTCCAAAATGCTGGTCATGGCTGCAAAGCTGCAATCCTCGGCAGGACATTGCTGATGCTGCTCCAAATGCAGTCTCATGTCTTGCGCCGTAGCCAATTCCATGCTGCAGTTGGCACAATATTCTGTACTTGGCGGCGCTGTCCTTGCAATTGGTTGTGCCTCATTGCTTTTCTGTGAACATAGCCGTATTAATATCTTGTTTTATCTAAGTAAATTGTTTGTATTACCTGTTGATTCTCTGATTTGAAAAACTTTGGGGGCACTGTGCTCCCACGCGGTCCGTACATGGGAGGCGGCTGTTTCGCACGTGGCAGCAGAGTCATACCACATGGAGTTAGGTAATGCAAGTTATTCTTGGTGGGTTCATATGCATTTTTATTGAAATTTGGCGAAGGCAACGAAAATTTTGGCTCCATTTCGTTTTACAGTTAAACCACAATGTGACGTACAGAAGAGTGTATTTTCGTTACTCGCTAAAAGTAACGACTCGTTACCCAAGCCACTGAAAGCACAAAATATCAAAAGTTATCGTACTAAACTCAGCAACAACAGAAAATATTAGCGAGATTCCCGAAACTGATTTATTTTTCGTCAATCACATGTTCACAGCTGCTCCATAAGAAAAGTGCAGTGTGACCAGAAAGTAAAGAAAACTATGGTCAAAAAAGAGAGATCAGCTGACGGTGTGACCTTTTCAAACAAAAATTTTGCGGTCACAGTTGGTATTTACATTCTAATGTAATTTTAACTTGGATTAACGTTGCATGCTTTGTGCATTTCAAGTTATGGGAATTAAATAATTATATATTTAATTAATTTTAAAATGCAGACGAACCTCTTTCGAGAAGAAAAGACAGCGGCTTAAAGCGGACGGATTAACTCGTGATCGAGTTCTTAGAACATAGAGAAATTACAGCTGAAACATAATAAATAAACACTCCATATTTTGCAAGCAAACTAGAATTATTTAGATGCATAGCAAACTTTTACACACTTTCGCAATTTACTGCTTTTCACCTTAATTATCAATCAGCCGTTTGGATAGACCGTAAAAAGGATCATTTCGTCAAACAGATTAAGATTTGCTTTAACGAAATTTTAATCTGTTTTAGAAATCCTATTTGGTCAAAAGATATTTAGGCAACGACTTGAGAGTTATATTCGAGTCTATATACATACACATGTACATATGTATGTATGTATTGCCTTGTGAGGCTTGCAAATAAGCCCCGACAGCAAAGCTGCTAGCACATTCATATTTTTATTTTCCTAAACAGTTGATTTGCTAATTGGAATACCTGGCATCTACTTACGACAGCATACGGCGGCGAATTACTCTCGAAATTGAATCCAATAGCCGCCAACTGGCACCAAATGACCGGCTTAAATTGCAGTCATCATGCAAGCCATTACTGAACCGCTGTTAATGTAAATGGGGAAGTAAATTAACTCACTTTAAAACAAAACGATTGATACACCCACCACACACACTTACACTAAACATTAGAGAGCTGGCTTTTGGCATGTGCTTGTTTAAAGTATAAATTTAATAGAACTGCACAAACTCCATTGGATTAAATAGTCACGACATGCTCACGCCATATAAAATATCGATAGTTACATTTTCGACTCTATGCAGCACTTCAATCAGCTGTTGCGAGTCGACAACAGTGTTGCACAGCGTGCACGCATAGACACCAAGAAGAAAGTGCAGGTGTGCAGTCATTCATATATACAACGCATTAGGGTTTAGCGTAGTCTTACAATCTAAGCAAATACTTAAATCAACAACAATGCAAAGCGTGCTTAATACAGTTAAAGGCACGGCGCTTAATGTAGCAGAATATTTAACTCCAGTTTTAAAGGCAAGTATTGACTTTTGGTTCTCATTAAAGACGAGAGTTGATAGAGTGGGAGGAGGATTTGTTAATTAAAGGAAGAGTTTTTATCGACTTTAATTTTATTGCTGAATTATTTATTTGCGACCGTATTCACTTGCAATATTGATGCATGAATTCATTTTTCTAATGTGCGTTCTCTTATCAATTAATTTGTTCTCTCTATCTGTCACTCGGGCGGGGTTTAAGTGGCGACGCTTTTGTAATTAATTTATAACCAATTCATTTTTGATTAGGAGTCGAAATTTCGCGAAACTGGCGTGTTAACACCAGAGGAATTTGTGGCAGCTGGTGACCATTTAGTCCACCATTGCCCCACTTGGCAATGGGCGGCGGGCGATGATAGCAAAACAAAGCCGTACTTGCCAAAGGGTAACAAAACTAGAAACTTAAATTAATTAATTAAACTTACCACAGCTAATTGAAATGCAGATAAACAGTTTCTGATAACACGAAATGTGCCGTGCTATCGCCGCTGCAAACAAATGGAGTATGTGGGCGAGGAGACACTGGTGGAGGAGGAGTCCGGCGACGGCGGCTGGGTGGAGACGCATCAATTAAACGATGACGGCACCAATCAAATCGATGAGAAAATATGCGAACTGACGCTGGATGAGAACAAGGTTTGTTTATCTTGGCTAACAAATATTAGGTCAAGACATTCATTTTATCTTTAAGGACGAAATGCATACGCCCGATAGCGACAAGACGTCGCCGGGAGCTGCGGCGCCTAATGATGAGAATGAGGATGATGATGAAGCCATTGACATGGATGCATTTGAGGAGAGCGGCATGCTGGAGCTTGTCGATCCCGCCGTGGCCACCACCACGCGCAAGCTAGACGCCGACACACAGCCTAGCAACCCAGCTGGAGCTGGAGTGTCTGCAGGAGAGACCGCCAGTAGCGGAGACTCCGTGCTGCATACGCGAACCTACGACCTGCACATCACATACGATAAATACTACCAGACGCCTCGATTATGGGTCGTCGGCTATGATGAGCAGCGCAAGCCGCTTACCGTTGAGCAAATGTACGAGGATGTCTCCCAGGATCATGCTAAAAAGACTGTCACAATGGAGTCGCATCCACATTTGCCTGGGCCCAATATGGCGTCGGTCCATCCCTGCCGCCATGCAGATATTATGAAGAAGATCATCCAGACCGTTGAGGAGGGCGGCGGCCAGCTGGGCGTGCATTTATATTTAATAATATTTTTGAAATTTGTGCAAACCGTCATACCAACAATTGAATACGATTTTACGCAGAATTTTAACATGTCCTAAACGGGACGATTTTAAGTTCAATTTGAGAGCAATATAACAAATAAATTACGCATTAATTATACCTAAACAACGTATAGTAATAAAAGCAAAAGCTGCGGCATACTCAAATTTATGCTTCTTTATACAATAGAGAATTTCAATAATTTTCCTTTTTTTATATTTACGTTTTATTACATTTGTTTGTTGTTGGTTGGTTGGTTGCTCGTTTGAAACATCTCTGAGATGACATTTTTATGTTAACGTAGTAATAATAAACATAATTATGCATATAGTTTTTCTTTTTTTTTTTTTAGGTAGTTTTGTTTTCTGTCTAGTTAAATGATTTGCTTAACGCTGTTTGCTTGCTTCAACAAATTTAAAACTTACAACAGGTGTGTGTGTGTGTCTGTGTGTGTGGTGTTCTTGCAATATACTTATTAAGCTTCAATGCACATATAACTTTGATTTATATTTGTTATTATTTTTTCTTCTTTTTTTAATATATATATATATATAGGTATATATTATTTATATATATATTTTTTCTGATTTTTGTTTTTTATTATACTTGCTTAAAAATTAAAATCACTTTTCATTTGCAATAACAGGTTCACATCGTAATTAACTTTACAATAAACATGCCTTACGCCATTGCCTATATAATAAGACCCATTACACATTTTTACTTCATGCAGAACCGCACAGTATGCCCCATACTTTAGATATAGAATATACATTTTCATTTAACGAGTTTTAAAAAACATGCTGCCACTTACGTTGAACGCCAATGCACAGCGTATATATACATATCTATATATATATATGCATATACTATATATAATACATACATATATATATATATATAGCATATCCTTTAACGTATCTCTAACGCTGCTTAAATCTTATGCTAAGCCAACCTATGCTCATTTAATTACTCTTACATTTCTTTCTAACCCATTTTAAATGTTTCCATTTAGATTTCATCTATTTTACAATACATACAGGAGTTGCATAAACGTCTAAAAATCTAAATATTTATTTAGTATGTATAACTAGGCAACCTACAAGGTTTTTTCTCTTTAAACCTTTCTTTAACTCGCTGCTTAAATCCTCAATTTTTGCCGCACACAATTAACTTTCATAACATTCATAGACTTTCCAACCATTTCTAAATTTTATGTTGCCTTAAAAGATTTAAAATTTACTGCAATTAATGTATTCGTGTGGGGGTTTATTTTGTTAATTTTATAAGGTACATTTAGTTTAAGCGCAATACCAAGTCAAAAGTCGGGGGCAGGAGAAGGGAAAAAAAAACATATTTAAATAAATATACAAAAACATAAGCTAATTGTTATTTACATAAGTGGGAAAATATTCGAAACAAGACCAAACAAGCGTTTTAAATAATTGCCAAAAATGTAATAAACATTAAGAATTGTTGCGCTATCTTGCAGCTTTCCCGCCCACTTTTGGCTTTGCCTAAAGTTTTTTTTTTATAATTTTGAAAAGTGTTTCTTATTTGATAACTCGATTATTGTTTTAGCCCTTTAAGAATTTAAATTTAAATACCTTTGTAGAGAGAATGTACTTTAAATTTATCACGGTATGCAACGCATTTAAAAGAAATATAGACATACTCATGGGATTTAAAAAAAAAAGTACGTACTGATGTTGTTTGTAAGTAAAAGAAATCGGTTCGAACATCTGGGTTTAACATAAAAAGAGAAAACAGAAAATTATTCTCCAATTGAATTACTTTGCATTTGGCATGTTTGCGTAAAGATTATTAAAAAATTGTTATAACTGATAACTGTATCGCCTGAGGGCAATATGCAAAGGCATATTTGTTGCTTAAAAAAAACTTTAATTTTTTCTTGTTACTCAGAAATAAAATACAACATATTTTTGAATTCTTTTAGAAATAAGCAGCTTTACACATTTAACATTTAAACAATAAAATTATAATCATTTCGAAATTTGTTTGTAAACTTATGCGATATATGTTTATAATTATTTATAATATCTAATCATTGTTTTTGTTTATTTTGTTTTTTTTTTTTGTTTGATTTTAAAGAGAATTTCATGCTCTGGCTTTCGATTTTTGTTATTGTTGTTTCCTGTGTTGCAGGTAGTTGCTTGGATAGTTTCTTAAACTTTAAACTTAAACAAAAAATGTACAATTATTAATTTATTTGTTATACATATAGATGACAAATTATTTTGTTTCAATAATGTTCTCTGTTTAAGATATTTTTTGTTTAGAGTAGACGCAAATACTATGTAAGACAATTGGCGCGAATAATAAAAGGAAAAACATATATAAAAAAAGAAGGTCTGTTAAAATTTGTCGAGGGAGAGAGGGATGGAGGGTTGCCCTATATATATATATATATATATATAATCATGCTATATATATATATTTGAGTGTGTGTGTGTGTGTGTGTGTATAGATTTATATAAAATAAAATTTGTTATGGTCTTTACGTTCTAAAGAAAGGTATTTTTGCACTTTCCACAATTTTAGCTGAATTTGAATTATCTGAACAGATTTTTCAGAAGAGACATGACTAAAAGTAAACACAACTTAAACGAAGACAAATTAATGAATTAGTTAAACATACGGTAAAGCTAGTCATAAACATAATAATAATTAACATTGAATCAACAAATGTGTGTATGTGGTAGTTGGTTGTTGGTGGTAGTGATGATCATTCTTCCTTATACATACATATTTACATATATCCTTTATATATATACATATATATATATATGTAAAATTCATGTCCTTCGCATAGCAATCAAGATTTAATTGGTTTGTTTGTTTGTTTGTTTTTTAACTTTGCGCTTGTTTGCTTTTGTTTTTGTTATTTACATATATTTCATAAAATGTTTAAGTATTCTTTTTTTCATTTGCTTTTTTTTTGCCTTTTGTTTTTTGTTGTTGTTTTTTGTTTATTCCTGGAAATGCGCTCTGCTTACACTTTCCGCTTGGCATGCAGCATCTCCATAAGCAGCGTCTGCGTGGGCGCACTGCCGGCACAGTGCTTCGAGTAGAGGTGCTCCTCGCCCCGTGCGGCCATGGCGTGAATTTCCGGTAGTATGTTCAAAAGCCTCCTGAATTTGTCCTGCAATAGGATAAAGGGAAAGGTTATTGAAGTGAACTTCAAGTGAGGCGTATTAAGACGAGCTTAGATTTGTCTGCAGGTGCAATGCAGTCGAAACGCTTGCATTTACCTGGACGTTCCAAACATGCTACTTACATTAACCGAGGGATAACACGTTAGTGTGTAGTCCAGCAGCGCAGCCTGCACATTCTCGTGGCCCTCCACGACGGTCTTTTTGTTCACGATTCCACGCACATCTGCAAGAGTCAGGATATCGTTGTATGCTACACGTAAACGGTAGTCGTTTCTACTAAATACTCACCTGGATTTAAAAGTATTAGGAATTTCATGCACACATAGTCGCCCATATCGAACTTGAGGTCCTGCAGCTTATTTTGCAACTCGTTGAAGTAGTCGCCCAGCTGCGGCACACCCAACAGGCCCAGGCTCATCAGGTTGAAGACCTGCCCGTTATTCAGCTGCGTCTCATCCGGCAGGCCGTTGTGTATGCGATGATGCAGATGATCCAGCACGAGCATGTCTGACCACGAGTGCTGAAGCAGTTTCATCTGATCGTCCACCTGCAATAAATAGATGGCATACACAAAGTGAATAAAGGATGACTAAGCTTATTGCAAACAAATCTCAGATATCAGTCATCCCGTTGCTGAGAATCTGGTTGAAGGCGAAACGGAAGGAGTTACCAGTTATTTGACAGGAATATGATCTGTGCTGGGCGAACAAGAAACCAAATTTTATGTCTTTAGGTCCTATAATTCTCAAGATCTAGACTTTAAGACGGGGCTGGATCTAATCTCGCATTAAACTTGGGGTCTCCTTTCATCTCATAAATACAGGGTATGTTAAATGTGGCGACGACAAAGCTTTTTTTTTAATGTAGCTTGATTTTAACACGCGCTCTCTCTCTCTCTCCCTCTCTCTTACACACACGCTCTGCTGCTGTCTGAGCGCGGCGTCGCTTAGTTGCGTCACTGACGAGCAACGTCGACGCCGACGTCGACGTCGCCGCGCGTCTCGGTTGTTGTCATCGGTGCTTGGTCTGGGTCTGACTGGTTCAGCTTTGGTTGCTAAGTAGGTCAGACGCCAAATGAAATCGAAATTCAATGCAGATTTAGGTACCCGACATCGCAGTCGCCGTCGTCGTTGCTGTCGCCGTCGCAGTCGGCGTCGCAGTAGCGGTCGCGGTCGGATCGCTGCCGCTGCATTGTTGCTTTTACATAATGCTCCGCAGACTTGGCCCCTAGCTTAAAAACTGGTTGTGGCTGTTAGACTGCCAGCTCTTGTGGTTGTTGTAAGTAAATAAAAACAAGCTAATATGTTGTATGGAGAGGGGGGCATACCTTTAAGTCCTTAAAGAAGACTGTGTTTCTTGCCCAGTCCACTTGCGAGAACAGATTCTGATCCAGCACTTTGCACATTAGCTCAAAGAGATCCACTTCCACCTGGTTGTACGTCTGCTTCTGCAGCAGCGCAAAGAGCTGCGTCTGCCATTCCCGATCGTCGATCGATTGCACAAACTCACGTATCATCGGCGAGACCCTGCAGGAGAGCACAAAACGGAAGGAGGTGAATTAAGAAATATAACACAAACCGATTGCCAAATCAATAACTGCACTTAAAGCTTCGCTCGCAGCTTTCGCCACTTGCAACTCACCTCAGTGGCTCGATGAGCGCATCGGCTGTGCTCGATGGATGTGTGCCAGAATCAAAGCTTTAATTTGAGAACAAAGAGAAATATAATGGTAAAAAGACGAAGATTGGTTGCTATTGGGGATGTTTAAGAGCTCTTTTCGAGATGTTCGCAAAATACGTGCTGACTCCCAAAAAGAGAGAAGATAATGCAGAAAGTATAATATTTCTTACATGATAATAATATATGTACATATATTATGCGAAATGTAAAAAAGAGACCTTTAATGGGAGCCCTAAGAAAAACCTATTTCGAATGTCTGGAAAAGGTTTCTTTGAACGGAAAAGAAATAAATGGTAATAATTTTCCTGTTTTTTCGAGCTACATTTATGACTAACGTTCTTTTACAAATTCCCCCAAGTAAATGCCTAATAGAAGAAATACATTTGAAACAAAGGAGATCCTTTCCAGCTCGTATGAACAATGATAACAAATTATGTTATTTTTATGATCCTTTCTTCTTCTTGGCGTAAATTGACATTCGAAATTCCCCCAAGTAAATCCCTAATAGAGGAAATAAATGTTCTTTTCCAGCTCTAATGAACAATGATAACAACTGATGTATATTTGTTTTATGATCCTTGCTGCTTGCTTCTTCTTGAAAAGCAATTCAAGTTCTGGTAAATGTTCAGTTCGTTTGCGCATTAATGAATGGATGCTGGATGGGCTAGGAGGTAAATACCACAATTTCGATTCGGCTGTGTTCTGCAGAGATCCAGGTCCGGTTTCGTGGCAACTGCTGTTGCTGTTGCTGTTGCCACTGTTTCCGTTGCGTTGCAGGCCGTCGGCGAGATTGTTGCTGCCACCGCCGCCGCCGCCGCCGGCGTTGTTGCCACCTCCGCTGCCCCCGCCGCCGCTGCCGCTGCCTGTGCTGTTGTTGTTGGTGTTGTTGTTGCCATTGCCCAGCGAGGAGCTGCCGCCGTTCCCGTTGCCGCCGCTCAAATTGCCCGCATTCAGGGGCGTGGCTATCACACCGCCCGCGCCTGCATTCACCTGGCCCAAGGCGATCGCAATGGGGCTGGGCGACGAGTCCGGCGATTGCGTGAGTGAGGATACCTGCAAATTACAGGGTATTCATAAGTCTCCTTCCAGCTGGCTGATCGACCACTTTTGCACTCACCTGAGGTATTTGAATTTCTTGCTTAATATTCATATTTGGATATGCTTGCTGATAGCCCGGCGAGAGCGGCGTCGGCTTTATGTCCGTGCCTATCGAACTGCGCAGCGCCTGCAGCGCCAGTTGCCGCTGACGCATCACCTGCAGCTTGCGCGCCCGATCCCGCTTGTACATGGGTCCAAATTTGTTCCGACCGCCGCGCATGCGGTCCGCTCGAACAGCTGCAAATAAACCGAGAACGAACCGAGGAGATGGGATTAATGTTATATGGGAATATACTTAGACCTATTTATAATTGGATATCTTGGCAAATCAGCTCACACTTTTCGAAAACTCCAACTCTGCTGAGTGGATGATGAAGGTTAAAGGTTTAGGGGTAATATTTCCCAATTTATGAGTTTCTTTCAGCTTCCAACTTATTCCCAGAGTTCTACATAAAAAGCTTCAGGCAAATTCCACCCGCAAACTTGGAAAATAGGTGGAAAACGGCTGCATGCAAGATCTTGCGGAAATTCATTTTGGACAGGTTTCACGCGTTTCGCAAATTCCACCCCTCTTGCAAGGAATTGCGGTTGTATGGGTCGAGAGCTTATTTTTCGGCTTCAAAAGGACTTAAATCAAGACCTTATTTTTAAATGTCTATGTGAAATATTACTTTAGAAGTGGAGGGATTTCAATTTGTCTAATGATGTCTACAATTTGAAGCAAGAAACTTGGATCGGGCAAGGAGGGGAAATACCAGCTAAATATATTTTGTGTAGATATCATATCAAATTACATTTGAGATATATTTCCCGATTCCAATATTGTTAAGATTTTACTCATTTAAACGGTACACAGTGCAGTTTTCTAAGTTTTCTATTTGTAATATAGTTATTACTTTTATCATACTATGTCGTAGTAGATTGTCTCGAATATCATATATATCGTTTTTTTATGAGCGTCTTTGTTGTCTTTTGAAATATAGTTATTTTATAAATAACGATCTTCTATATACCTTAAACTTACATAAAAATCAAACTTATTTACATCGGGTTAAGCTTCATTGGAAAAAGCCGTCCAAAATTTAATGTGAGGTGTCTAACTTATGACCTCTGACCTCTGTAACCACTCACACTGGCAGATGCATTGACTCAAATTGTCGACCTGATCTTGCCGGTATGTAACATACATATGTAACGTGGCATGACAAATAAGATATATATCTTCTTTTTGGACTGACAAACCTTTTTTACCCTTTCCTATTTGAACTTAACCAGGATCTTATTAAAAATTGACCCAAATTTGGGGGCTCTAGGATGCTGTGGATTTTCGTGGTTTCTCCACAGATTAGTGGGCGTGCCGCTAAGAATATTGGAACATATATTTCAAGCAAATCAAATCTCTAGTTTGTTACTATATAAGTAAGAGAATATATGTATATGTATTTACAAGTTTTTGTATCGTATAAATACATATACATACATATGCATATACATACGTAGAACAATCTAAGGCGTTAGAAAATGTGTTTTGTATGGCAACAGCTACAATGTAAGAATGCCGCCAAGTTCGTCGCTCTGCGGAGTGTGTGTGTGTGCGTGTGTGTGTGTGTGAGGGGAGGGGAGTCATGTGCACCCAGAAACATAAACAAACACCCATACTCAAGCACACAGAGGCCGACACAAATACAGATGCAGCGACCCCAATGCGGATGATGCAGCAGCGTCGCGCTCTTGACTAGAAGAGGCAAAATGCGTGCAAAAACAAAAACCATACATATATGTATGTATGTATATAACAAGAAGGAACATGTATCTAAGGCATGCCGATGGTGAAATACCCTAGCAGACAGGGCTTCGAAGTGGTTCTCTTAAATAACTCTCTCTCCAAATGATTCATATCTATTAGAACAATATTAATATACCAACATATTCTTAGCAGTGGGATATACATGCTAGTTTAGTCCGAATGTTTAATGAGAATATCCTGAGAACCAAGAAAGTTGGTTCCATATTGGATCGATTGTTCCTATAGTAGTTACATTATATAATAGTGCCATGTTTTGATGCCCTTTCAATGGGCATAAGAGGAGACATTCGGTGCGGTAATTGTCCGGAAAGTGCCGTTGTTTTTTAAATGCGCGTGGACTCAACTATATACACACAAACATACACACACACATACGAACGAGACCATAAAATATGCATTTCAAATGCAGTGCTACGAAACAAAATTGCAGTGGTTTTTGTTTCTCCTCAAAACAAGTAACTGTAATTTAGGTCAAGCGTATTGTTTACAAATAATCAAAGCGCGCGTGTGTGTGTGTATGTGTGAGTATATATATATATATGTATGTAAGACCTACACATACAAATGTGTGTTGAGGCACCAAACGAATGCACACAAATTGGCGCTTTGTACTCTTTAACGTCAACGTCGCTGCCAGCGCAACGCTAGCGTCACAGCGCCGAGCGAAGAGCGAACAACATCACATGGCCAAACACATTGAGCGAGCGCGCGAGAGTGGTCGTTCGTGCGCTCTCGCTCATTATGCTTGCGTATTGTGGCTGTCATGGGCCGCTATTGCCCGCCATGGCATGGCAACTCGAAAAGCTTTCTATTACGACATTTGCTCGCCAACTCTTTCACACGCACATATACATAGACATGGCCACTGGCGCTCGGCACTCACGGCTCTGCCGCATTAGACAATTTTGTTGAATGGAGTAGGTCAAGGACAGTTTTGTGAAACTGGGACAACATGCGCGTTGTTGTTGCCGTCGTCGATTGAAACTCTCTCGCTCTCTCCTCTCCCCATTCCGTTGATGATGATAAACTCTCACTTACACTCTCACTCTTACTTATTTCTCGTCGGACCTACTCTATGTGTGCTTGTGTGTGGTTAGCGGACGCGTGCTTACAAAGGCCGCGCCATCTTAGGCCAAGACAATTTATGTTGAGTTTACACGAGTTGTGGATATCTTCTTCTTTATTCGCAAGTGTATATGTGTTAGTTCGTTTATTTGATTGCGTGTACTTCGTGCAGACGGGACTGTGTAAATATGTATAAACGCGTGAAATACTAGAAATATAACATTTAAATGTAATATTCAAAAGACGGACTAGAGCGGCAGCTGATACCTTAACTTTTATTGGACTCATACAGCTCCCATAGAAACAATCGATGGGAAATAGAGTACTCAGAAGGAACCAACGACCGGAAATGAGTTTATAAATTGCTTGCAAGCTTAAAAACATATCGTGATTCAATTATAGATACGTAGTTCTGCTAGGTTATATAAAATTCCCCAAAGAGCATTAGTATATAGATTTAGCTGATAGGCAACCTAAACGACATTCTATTAAAAACTAATTTTATTAAGTACACGTCGTATGATTGATTTTAAGTAACTGCACAAGTGAATATTGCGTATACCACACGTGGTCCATATAACCAGAAAATTTCTGGGTTTACAAAGTAACATTTGAAGAAACCAAAAGAATACCTAGCTTGTTTAACAGATAATCAACAAACTTCCACATAAGGAAACTGATGGGGTAAGCTGATGGAACAAATATACGTATTTGTGTCCTGGGTTGAGTATGAAGAGCATAAATTCGAAACAAGTTTTAACCCATTTTGTTTTGATCTTGATATACCAGGATCTAAGGAGTTTTTGGTAAATGAAGTTTCCATAAATTCAAATAAAGGATATAAGGATATCAATGCTTGGGGAAGAAGTGTTCATAATGAAGTTGAAAATTAGTTATTATCTGAGATATTAATTTTAATATTGTAATAGAAATTCTATTGTCTTTAAAGCTTAATAATCTTCAGTTATTTATTTATCACAGATAACAGCTATATTTTATACAAATAATATTTGAATATATATGTATGTATAGTCTTTCTGGCGTCTCATTGGCCTTTTCAAAATCGACGAAGAATAATTTAATTGAAGTTTAGGTCTTTAAAAATAGCTTTGAATCAAACTTAGAACCACATTTTGGTAGTTATTCCAACAAAGCAAAGTTATATAAAGTGTTCTAGTCGGGAGGACCCGACTAGTAGATAACCAGAACCCGCCGCTAAGTTACCTTTATCAACTTTCCTTCTTCCTTGTATGAATACAGTCAAACAAGTCGCGCAGTTTACGCTGCAGCTGGGCTAATTCTACCCTTTTCGAGATCAGCTTCGGAATTTATTGCCCGATCTTTATGAAACTTTCAGTATATACATACGCAAGAAGTAATGTATTTTAAATTTGAGTGGAATAGGGGCAAATATAAAAATAACTAATATTCCTATTGTTTGTATGTGTACTATAGGAAACCTTCATATCATATTTTAGGGAACTTTGTGAGCTACGCATAAAAAACAGTCTCAAAATCAATTTTAAACGATATTTCGGTATAGAAGAATGAGTCAGCTTGTTGTCCTGATCAAGAATAAATATACTTTAGAGGGTTGGACTTGCCTTTTTCTGGATTTTACAGAGATTTGTTGAAAAACAGTTACATGGTAGAATAGAAAATGAAATATATGCAAAATGATAATATATCATAGATTCGAGCCCGCAACCTTCAGCTTCGAGTTGCGCTCTTTAGACCAGTTCACTATGTACAGAAGTGTCAATTGAAATATTCCTTTCAGATCCTACCAATCAAGATTTGGGATATTCCTACTAAATCCTGCCAGTCAAAATGATAAGTACAAATTTTTATTTAGGTTACATTATCTACATTAAATCCTCCTCAAACTTAATGTACGAAATCAATTTCTAAATAAAGTACAGCTGATAATAGATTTGGAAATAAATCGTAAATTTATAAATTGTAATTTTGTTTGATAGCAGTCTATTCCAGTAATTTGGTTAAAAGATTCAACAAACCCGCAAATATATTTAAGACTGTGACACGAGTTACATAAAGACAAGTCAAAGCTGGGTTTAGCAATTCTCTCATCGTATTGCCATGAGGTCTGATTCACTTTTTCACTTTACTCAGACTCGTAAGTGTACTCAAATGTTCAAGTGTTCAAACCGAAACAGTTACAGGGTGTATATCCAAGTCAGATAAAATACAAATTCAAGCAACAACGAAAAAGAGAAACAACAACAGCGACAACAACAACAACATGGGCCCATGTGAGTCACACTCATTCGATTACAGCGGCAGTTATCATGACGAGTTTGGCAAAACGTAGGCACTGAGCCAAACCGGGCTGAAGTTTAAGTAAAAACAAAACAAAGTAAGCAAAGCTGCCAGCACCAAAAGTGCCGCAATTATAAAAGCGTTGCGCTTGGCGAAGAGCACAGCGAAGGCGCTCAATGCTACTGCTGCTGACGAAAGCGTCAAGAGATTACGACAGAGTTGTCATAGCGACGACGACGACGACGACGACGTTGGCGTTGGCGTTGGCGCTAGCAGCGGCGGCAGCAGCAGCAGCAAAAAAACGGAAGGACGGAACGAGTGACCACACTGGCAAAAACGTTCGAAATAACTCAGTGAGTATTAACAAAACAGAGTGCTCAAGTTGAGCGGCTCGACTTGGGTATACCCTGTACTCAGCTTCGCATTGTCGAAACATCCATTCGTACAAACACAACGCATACTGATTATTGTTTTATGCAAAATATGCTAAAAATGTATATTTATCGATACCGCGTTAGCTGGAGAAGTTATCGATAAAATGTAATGAACCTGACCTAGCACATCCGAAATTTTATTTGACACAAGTTGCAAATCACAAAACCAATACACTCTTCTGCCTTCTGCGAACAGAATATAAAAATTAAAACCAGAAAACGTGCACAACGACAGCGCCATGTATAAAACAGCACAGCGCAGCGCAGCGCTCTCTACATGTTGCATTGATTGCACAAACACAGACGCCAGTTTATATTTATATATCACGTGCACGCACACAGCCACGCTGCGGAATCTAGGTCATGAGCGCAAGAGACGGCACTATGGGCCGAACGCGCCAATGTGCAAATGAGATGGCAATACGACTAACTACATACATATGCACGTTACAAATAAACTTATTTGCGAGCTATATGTGTGTATAAATGCGAGAGAGCAAACGCGCTCTCTCTCCCTCTCTGTATGCATTGGAGAGACGTCAAATGAAAAACAAAACCAATTTTTTGACTACATTCTTTTTTTTTTGTACCCTTGCGGAGCACTATAAATTTTTCATGAAATGTGTTACGCATTGAAGAAGACATTTTCCACATCATAAATAAATATATATTTTGTGCGTCTAACTTTCGGTTTTTATGCAAATTAATCTTTGTTTTATGCTCTTCTGGCTGAACATGGCGAATATTCGCAGTTATTTTGAAGGCTTTTTAAATGCCATAAAAACGATCGATCAAATTAGAGATTTGTTTATGAAATAAATAATAATTCGCGATTTCTTGACTCAATTTAGCACTTAACTTCACAATGAGTGTTACTTCTATAGGTTTTTCAGATCTCAGGCTAATAATTGTATGTAGTTTTAGCCGAAGTTAGTTTAAAGATCCTATCCCATACTTATAAAAGTTATGAAGAAGGGAAGTTATGATTGTGATACGACTTTTTAAAAGGCATAAGAAATAGTGAACAGTGAACAGTGTTAACAATAGGAACATAATTTTGAGTTGATTGGCGGGATCAGGTCAAAATAATAAAGAAATTAACTACTGTATTAGTTTCAAGACTAACTTACAGAGAAATAGAAAGCCCATATCATGAGTACATTATTATAACATTTTTTGAGTGTTTATAAATAAATATTATCGATATGTGTAAAAATACTTATATTAACCCCTTATCATAAGTATTAACAAGGATCATAGTACGGAGATTGTATGTATTTTACCCATTTAACCTTTTGTGAAAAGGTATACAAAATGTAAAACGAAAACTTAAATGAAATCTGAGATATTTCAATACTAATGTATGTTCGAGTTTAGTAAAGTTATCTGGAAAAACAAAAAGGCTAAACCCATTCAAATTTCGTTACGATAACTTTCCAGCTGACAGAATAGAAATAGGTAGACATACAGAAGCATATAGTTATAACTGTTGATCAAGAATGTATATACTTGATAAAGTCGGGAACATGATTATAATGCAAAGTTAAAATACCTTCTGGAAAGCTATAAACAAGCATAAGTTCGTCTTATATAAGACGTCCGACAACCGAAAACCAATTAGATCTGATTACAATGATTTGAAGAAATTGTTATGTGGAGTAAAATAATATATATATGGATTATAATCCCCTCAGTGCTCCCCACCAACATTTTACCTTAAATATTTCTCGCTTACAGGCGTATTTTAGACGCCACTTTGGACCCGGGCCGATTGCCCGCATATTATTTCCACACTTTTACACACACTCGATACTCTAAAAGTGTTTTGCATAATAATTCACGGCTGTTTGTTGTCAATTGTTGCCCCTTCCCGCCTGCTCCTTGGCCCATCGGCCGTGCCATGGCCCATTTAGGCCGCACACTATGTCCAAATAAGCGTACACATTATAGAGCGAAAAAATTGCGCGACGCATATGAGTTAACTAAAAACTAAAAGCAAGTAAATACGCTCTAGGCATGACTGGAAGATACCCTGTAGCTAGTGCCGTGTTTATACCAAAGAAAATCGTTGTTTATAGTCCGATTTTTATGAAATTTTCCGTGCTTCATAAGCGGATAATCCAAAAGGACCTCTTTTAAATTCAGTAGAGTGTATTATAATTTTGCCAGGATATGTTTAATGCATAGAAGAAGACACCTGCGATATCTGATTCGTAGCAAAAGCAAAGTTTCTCAGTTTTAAGGATTTTGTCATGAATTCAACTTTGCATGAAGGTATCTTTCTCTTGCAGGCAGTACGTAAAAATGATTAGCAATAAACTAAGTACTTGTATGAAGGAGAAGATTAGCCGTTATTCCTTGAGGTATTTTTTTTTAATTTTGAGGAAAGGTATTGGGGAAGGTATCTAAAAGCTGAATTATGTTTGATCTGTGGGCACAATTAAGAAATATAAATATCAAATTAGGTACCAATAACTACTAAAAAAACGTTCTTCTGAAATCAACCTATATCTATATCGAAAGAACAGGAATATGCATCATAGATCTATAGGATTATACAGACAGACGGTTAGAGGAAGATCGCCTCAGTGTGTCGTCCTCTGTTCTGCCTGTTACATAAATATTCACACGCACATGCTACCCGTTATTACGCATTTTCAACGGGTACAGAGTGTTAAAAGATTACAAAACTCAAAAGAGCATACGCACACACACAAAAGAGACAGAGAGAGAGAGAGAGAGAGAGGGGGGGGGGGGGGCTTACCCTCACACTGCCTGAAAATGATTCAAAAGCTTAAAGCGAACACTCATCTCAATGATGATGAGGCACAGCTCACAGCAGCAGAAGCAGAAGCTCAGCAGCTAGAAAGCTTCGCAGCTTGCATGGCTCATCATGCGGCCCTTTAGCCTATACAAGTGTATACCCTGTACCCATGGAGAATGGGTAGCTAGGTGGACAAGACGTAGAGGCCAAGTTTCCCAAACAGTCGATCTAGTCTGGTTCGACAATCTGTTTTATAAAAACACTATAATATCTATACCCTACGCAAATCATATTAACCCCACCTTCATCGTAATCGGTAAGTATTGATTTTTGACAAAGAGTATGGTCAGGGAACAAGCACAGCTGCTAGCTGAGTTGTGAAAGTACAGAGTATCTGCTAGTCGTGCACTCTCAGCTAAATCACTCCCAGTTTACTTCACTTTGTTGCTAAATAGGACTCTATTTTGAAAATAAAACAAAAAAGCGCAAAAACAACAACAGAAACGAGATTAAAGAACATATCCCAAAAGCAGCGGACGAAAAGAGAGCAAGAGCGAGAGAGCGAGAATAAATTAAAGCCGTTATTGAGCAAACTTTGGTTTGTGAGAGGAAACCACAGACGCGAAATAAAAAAAAAAACTTTTTGTTTCGTTCGCTCTTTTTCGGGTTTAATTCGATTTTATTTACCTTTGCTTAGCGAAACTTGGGATAGGTCTGGAATACGTCAGAACAGAAATTCATACCAAAAATATGAATAATTCGACGATATGTCAGAATACTCGCAAAATTGCGGACAGTGGGCGAAATTTGAGTTCAAATCTGTGAAATACATTCGCATCATTTGGGGGGAAAAAACGGGTTTTGGGTGAAACTTAGAAGGCTCCAATTACGAAAGAAAATCAGTTTCCCTTGAGGTTTAACTGGGCTTGATTGATTTTTTCTTGTACTTATTTTGTGCGCATTTATAAATAATAAGGAATATCGATTTAAGTTTATCGGTCGCGAATCGTTTGCAGCTGTCGTATCCCAATATTAAGTACATATACATATATATAATATATGTATAAATTTACATATGTTCCGTTTACTGGAAATGCTAATTTTCACATAATTGAGATTTGCTAGGGTAAAATTGTGAAGGCGCCTTATTGGGAGGAACTGCAGGAAGTGTATTGTTCTACAGAAATTTAAGGGATTTCAAGTTATGCCAAATAATAGGGGAAAATTTAGGTAAGCCCAATAAAAACTTCATCATTTTTCTGCTATAAAAATAAAACCCTAAAGTGTCAATTTAAGACATTTTTCCCACCTATTTTACAGGTTAATGAAGGTTACAGGTCGTATACAGAATTTAAAATAAGTATACCCATCTTAAAAGCTGTTAACTAACAAATAAAGGCTTAAACGAAAAACTTTCTGAAAAGAAAATTAAATGGGTTCTGCTGATATAAATCGAATAAAATTGAATTCCATGAGGAACTTTTCTTTGAAAAAGTTTTGAATATAAAACCACTTGAAAGAAAAGATTCCATTAGGAACTTTACTCTAAAGAAGTTTTGGATATGAAAATCCTTGAAAAAGGAGATGCCATTAGAAATTTTACTTTAAAGAAATTTTGGATATGAAAACCCTCAAAAAGGAGATTCCATTAGATATTGTACTTTAGAGAAGTTTTGAATATGAAAACCCTTGAAAGAAGACATTCTATTAGGAACTTTAAAAAGTTGTGGATACGAAGATCGAGAAAAAGGAGATTCCCTAGAGAACTTTACTTTACAGAAGTTGTGGATACGAAAATCCTTGAAAAAAGACAATTCACAGGGAATAAAAAAGTTGTGATATGGTTGACTTACCTTCTAGTTTCATGCCCACCTCCAGGCACTTTTGGAATCGACAATATGGACAACGTTTGCGCTGCGTTTTATCGATGTGGCAGGAGCGCTCCGCAACGCAAGTGTAGACCTTTTTGTTCTGAACGGTGCGCTTGAAGAAGCCCTTGCAGGACTCGCAGGTGAGCAGGCCGTAATGATAGCCGCTCACCTTGTCGCCGCAGACGGGGCACAGCTCCTCGAACAGGTGCTTAAAGTCGATGGCCTCGCCGCCGCCCGAGCTGGCGCTCGTCCCGCCATGATGGCCCCCTCCAGCACCACCCGCTCCGCCCGCGCCGCCCGCCGCACCGCTGCCGCCCACGCTGCCGGACATGTGTGCAGCCGAGGCGCCACCAGCGCCCGGTGGCAGCAGCATATAACCGTTGCCCCCAGCGCCGCCGCTGCCGCCGTTCAGCAGCTGGCCAGAGCTGCCAGCCACCGCGTTACCGGCTCCATTGCCGCTCTGCTGCGAATGAGATGAGTTCGTTTCCTGATACCCTGTCGGAAATATATACTGTGAATCGAAATTGTATATATACGAGTAGGAGGAGGCGTTGAATTGGTTCGCGGCATTCGTGTTGTTGCTGGCAATATTCTGTTGCTGTTGTTGTTGTTGGTAATGTTGTTGTTGCTGCTGGTGATGCGTGTGATGTTGTTGTTGTTGTTGTGGCTGCTGCTGATGATTGCCCAATTGCAGCGTGTATGCGCTGTAATCGTTATCGGAATTGCTCAAAGCGTTTGTATCGTTATCGTTGTTGTTGTTGCTGCTGCTGTTATTGCCACTGTTATTGCCACTGTTATTGTTACTGTTATTGTTGTTGGTGTTGCTCTGCGCTGGACTCGCGGGCTGCTGCTGGTCGAGCTGCATGCTAAACGGCGACAGATTCAGCGACGATATAAACTGTACAGTCGCCTGTTGTGGATCCATTTCTAATAACATTTCATTGGATTTTTACTAAGAGACCGAGCTGTTGCTTTAACTTGTTATTGTTTTTTTTGTTGTTGTTTGTTGGACGGCAGTAGCAATAATTTGTTGCCCTTTTATTTTATTTGTATATAGCTTTGTTTATTCTTTTGTTCACTTTATTTATGACAATTTGAGTTTTAGTTTTTATTTTCTATTTATATTTTTGCATATTGTTGCTGTTGTGTTTGTTGTTGTTGTTAACATACGGTGGTTTGGCCCTTGCGATTAACTGTTGATTCATTTTAATAGGCAACATTTTCAGCAGCACAATTAATTTTTTAGCATTTTTTTTAATTTGTATTAATTTTTTTAGCAATTTAAAATTTTTTTTTTTATTTTTTAAAGTTATGAAATTTGAATATCTTTTAAATTAATTTAATATTTCTCTTTGTTAGACAATTTGATTTGATTGTTAATTTTGTAACTTGTTTTAGAACTTTATAGATTTTTAAAAATATTTTTTTTATTTTATATTTCACTTTTAGATCTTTGTGGAAATTTGTTTAAAATTAACTTGATGTGTTTTTTATTTTTTGCAGGTACTTTTACGAGGTGAGTGTGAAGATATTTGCACGTAAAATAGGGTATATTTGTCGCCTGGTAAGGAGGTAGGGCTTTTCAACTTATATTTGTATACTTTGTAGAACTTGTGCTGCCTTGTTGTTAAGAAACAATTGTATCCGATTTAAACTTGGTTTAATATTGCGTTGGTATTTTATATTGTAGTATTTTTTGTGCGTTTTTCAACACTGTGTATTGGTTTGGGTTGCACAGTTTTATAATTTATTCATTTGCCAGCTTGTTTTGCATTTTAGACAACAAAAATGTTGCATTGCTCTCCTACTCCGACTTTCTCAGCGAACAGACACAACGCACCAAAGCAGAGAGAACATAATCCTGGGGCTGTTCCTGCTGTTGGTGCAAAATGCCGTGGAAAGGGGTAAAGGAAGCGTATGCAATATTTTGTTTTGTTTTATTATTATTGATATATTGATGAATTGGTAGATTGGTAGATTGCTAGATTCAATGTTGTTGTTGTTGTTGTTGTGTTGTCATTTAGGCCAAATGCAAGCGCAATACTATTGTGATTCTTGTACACACACGCACACACACATTTGTCAACAAGCACACTCGGTGTCGATGTTGTTGTTTGGCATATGTAACATATACTATGTATATGAACTATAATTTTTTTCTTTTTATATGTAGGTTATTTTGCTATGCGAAAAACACGACCAACATCAACCACGTATCTCGATTGACTAAACCCAAGCAAACGGCGAGGATACCCGCCATACACTAAAGCGCTGCTGTCGCTGCTGCTGCTGCTGCTGCTACTGCTACTGCTGCTGCTACGTTGTCGCTTGCAGCGACAGCGCAGTTGGCGCAGGCAGCGTTTTACTCTCGCTCTCATCGGGCACATTGCGATATTACGTATGCGCCACTTGTGTATGTTTACGTGTGTGTGTGTGTGTGTGTGTGTGTGTGTGTGTGTGTGTGTGTGTGTGGCCTGTGTGTGAGTGGGAGCCAGTTTCACTTTCAATGCGCGCGAGCTCGCGCTCTCATTTTTATGCGAGCTTCTTGCTTTGCTTTGCTTGGCTTGACTTAGTGCCCCCCTTTTTGCTGCTTTGCTTTTGCTGTTGTGGTTGTTGCCGCTGTTGTTGTTGTTAATACTGCATTAAAATTCAAACTGCGCTGAAAGCGAAAGTGAAACTTTTTGACACAGCTTTTGGGCCACTGTACACGACGGTCGACTCATTCTTTCGGATATAGCACCGTTAAAGCTACCAATATTATGAAAGCGCTAAGCTTTGCGTTAAAGCTGCTTCTGTTTTGTAATTGGTAACAACTTTTTACTTCATTTACTCAAGTGGCAACAACTACATACATACATATTTGGAGTTTTGGTTTTTCATTCTTCAAGACTTTTTATTTCCCTCATACTGCCAACTCGGCGGCTGCGCTCAGTTTCTTTTTCTTATTCGTTTTTGTTTTTGTTTTTTGTTGTTTCTTTTTCTTATGTTTCATTGTTGTGTGTTTGCTCGTCTCCTCTGTGGTCTCAATTATTTGTGGGTTTCTGTTGTTGCATTTGTTCATGACACAGTTTTAATATGACGTGTTTTTGTTTCCTATTTCTCTCGTTTTTTATATTTTTATATATATTGTATGCATATATGTATATTTTGTTAATTTATACTGTTTTATTTTATTTTGTTTTTAATTTTGTTAGTTTTTTTTTATTTATTTTTAACTTCTAACTTTATTATATTATTTATATATTTTTTTTCATATTATTTTATTTTTTTTTTGTTATTATATTATTTTATTTATATTTTATTAACTTTTTATTTTTCATATTATTCTATTTTTTTTTATGTTATTATATTATTTTATTTATATATTAACTAATTTATTTTTTATTTTATGGCATTGTTTTATTTAGTTTTTATTTTATTATGTATATTAATTTATTTTTTATTGTATATTCTTTGAATTGTTATTTTATTTGTGTTTTATACTATTTTAATTATGTTTATTTTGATCAAAAGACATTTAATTTAGGGATTAAGTTCTATTTAATTTTTTAATTTTTTTTAAAACTTATTTAAACAATCTCTTATTTTATGTTTCTTTTTCTAATCTCTATTTTCTTAGAAGGTTTTCTCCAATTTTATTTGAATCATTTTGTTGCATTCGCTCACATATGCCACAATTTGACCCCGTTTACTCGGCGTATACGTAACATGCCGTATGCTATAAAATTTGCAGTCCGCAATCCTCTTATTAACACATTAAACAACAGACTCCAAAGAAGGATGCGCCAGGTATGAGACACATACGAAATAAAACCCACATCAAGAGTGCCACAGACCGAACTGCCCGACTAGCAGATACCCTGGGCATAGCAATGACTTTACCATTTGCAAACTTCTGTTCGCTTTGGCACACTTAAACAGGTATCTATATGATATAGTGATCGATCGGGGCAGACTCTGACATACATATGTATATCTAGGCTACAATCGCTAGACACAGATATAAATGAAGTCTTATTCGAATGAAAAGATTCACAAGTTCTACTCAACTCTTCGCTTCGATCAATGGCACATAAAAGCGACATTCTCTCGTTGTTTCAATTTGTAGAGGGTATTTCGCTTAAAGCCGAAAAATTACATAAGTCAATGCCGACGTTGAAAGGAGCATAAAAAAGCAAACTTTCACCCGGCTTCGCATTCCACATTGCCGCAAAACTCAATTCCTTAACTAAGCGAACCAAAACCAAAAGAAGTCGATCTGGCTGGAACGACGTCCATTAATATGCAACGTCTTCTCAGCGACAAAACAAAATAAAGAAAACCATAAGAGTGCTCTAGTGGGAAGTAGCAGACTAGCAGATACCCTTAACTCGAACAGGGAATACCCTTAAAGGATTCTATTTATACCCTTTCAATTTTGATTCCCATTCTGTTCTTAGAGATCGAAGCGGATTTTGATGATAGATAGGAATATATATATATATTTGATGGGGCATGCCTGTTACATAAATGCCCTGTTTGAGCCATTTTCAATGGGTTCAGAGTACAAAGAAAAACGGGCCGCAAATATTGCCACATTTTGTGTTAAGGCGGAGACTTGGAATTACCCGGCGCAACGGAACAAAATGCAGTTAATATATTAAAAAAACAAGAGAGAAAAAAAAAGGCAATATTTCAATATGTTAAAAGAGGGAAAAAAAGAAACAGAAAAAGATGCACGTGAATAATTTTCAAAGTATTTCGATTTTTGTTGTTGTAATCTGCGTTGAAACACGTTTGCAGTTGGGGATTACAAAATTTCCAGTGCGCCCCACTTGATCTTCTTCTTCTTCTTCCTCTTCTTCTTCGAGTCTGACACAAAACCAAAAAAACAACATCGCAGACTTAAAGTTAATTTTCATTTCCTTCCACAAATTTGTTCGTGACCGTAACACAAAATGAAGAGAGGGAGAGCGAGCGAGAGAGAGAGAGGGAGAGAGGAGGAGAGAGAGGGAGCTTAAATGCTCAGACTTTTCCATATGGCCAAGGCAAGTAATGACAAAGCACAATGCGTTTTCTGTGTGTGGCAATCACCCAAGCCTACACACACACACACACACACGCACACACACACACGAACACGCGCACACACGGCTCACATACTCACACTTACACACACACTCACACTCTCGCAAGCTTTACTCGCACGTTCAGTTGATTAAGAAAAGAAAAAAAAAACACATGCAAAAACAGGTTTTTCAGTTTTTGGCAGCAAGAAATACCTTTTAGCCAGGCCACCAGGTTTAAAGCCCAATGCGGCCTCTTCAACTCCGACTTCGCTTCTGGCATTGGCAAATGCCTCGCTAACTGTTGCCTGTTGCCCGCTTTGCCCGTTTTGCCTGGCTTTGAGCCAAAGCTGAGAACCGAACTTCTTTGGTGCCCGAAAAGATCTCTCTTTGGAGGCATTGCCTATTTGCGTCTACCCCGTAAATGTGGCGAAAGAGGGCATATCTTAA